ATTCATTTACTAGCTTATAGCTTTGTAAGTCAGAAATGCAGGCAAGGTGTGGCTGGCTTCTCTGCTTAGGGATCCTCGAGGCTCAAATCAAGGTGCCAATCAGGCTGTATTCTATCTGGAGCTTGGAGTCCTCTTCCAAGCTTATGTGATAGTGATAGAACTTAATTCCTTGCAGCTGAAGACTGAGGTCCTCATTTCCTTGCTGGCCCAGCCAGGGGCCAGTCTCAGCTCCTAGATACCATTCATATTTCTTGCCTCATGACCCCTTCCATCTTGAATCCAGCAACAGAGAATCTTATTCATGTCAAATTCCCTTCACATTTCAAATCTTTCTTCAGGAAAAGCCTGGTCCCTTTTAAGGGTTTACCTGATCAGGTCAGACCCACCGAGCATGATCTCCCTGTCTTAAAGTCACATGTGCCATATTAACATCACCTTACACCTTCACAGTTCACACTTGTACTTAAGGAAGAGGCAGGAATCTTGGGGGTCATCTTAGACTTCTACCTACCACATGCTTTTTATCCTTTCTATCTCTGCATTTTATTTAAAGTACTTAGACCATTAATATTTAATGTAATTACTGACATGATTAGATTTAGATCTACCATTTTATTATTTGCTTACTGTTTGTCCCCTCTTCTTTTTTTTTCTGTTCCCCCTTGCCTGCTTTCTACAGGATTATTAGAGTATTTTTTTAGTAGTCTATTTCAACTGGCTTTTTAACTATATCTTATTTTTTTAGTGATTGCTCTATGGATTATAATACACATCAGCAATCTTTCATGTTCAATAGAGTTGATTTGTACCATTTCACATAAAATGTAAAAACCTTGCAGCTATGCAGTTCCTTCTCCCCATATTCTGGATGTCTATTTTGTTAACAGCCATTCTGTAGATTACATCTACGCAGATTGAAAAATCAGTAAGATAATATTGTAATCTTTGTTTTAAGGTCACATATATTTTGAAGAATTAAAAAGAAGAGTCTTTCATAGATACTCAGATATTTTCTAATTTTCTTGTTCTATATTCCTTTTTGAAAATCCAAGTCTCCCTTCAGCCTGAACAACCCATAGAGCATTTATTGTATTGTAGGTCTCCTAAAAAGTAATCCTCTAGTTTTGCTCCATCTGAAAATATATGTTGCTTTCATTCTTAAAGTTTATTTTCGCTGAATATAGAATTCTGGGATAATAGGTTATTTTTTTTTCAGCACTTGAAGATGCTTTTGCACCATCTTCTGACATCCATGCATTTTTATTTTAAAATCTGCACTCATTTAAAACATTCCCCTATATGTCTTTTTCCATTGGCTGCTTTCAAAGTCTCCTCTTTATCCTTGGTTTTCAGCGGTTTGATGCTATGGATATTCTGTGTTTACTATGTCTCTAAGCATGGGGGGTTTTTTTGTTTTGTTTTGTTTTGTTTTGTTTTAGTTGTCTTGTTTGGGGCAATTCTTGAATCTGTAAATTTATGATTTTCACTAAATTTAACAAGTTATTGGCCATTTTTTCTTATCCCATTCTTCTCTCTTCTCCTTCTGGGATTCCAATTACGTATCTGTTAGAGTGTTTTATATTGTTCCCTGGGGCTCTAAGGCTCTGTTTATTTGTTTCCATCTCTTTTTTCTCTTTCTCACTGTTCTTCAAATTGGATAGTTTCTATTGATATAACTTCAAGTTCACTGACTCTTTCCTATATCATTTGTATTTTTCTATTGAAGTATAAGATGACTACAGCTCACTCTCAAAAAAAAAAAAAAAAAAAAGCCTCTAAATTGAGGCCAGACACAGCGGCTCACACCTGTAATCCTAGCACTTTGGGAGGCCAAGGTGGTTGGATCGCCTCAGCTCAGGAATTCAAGACCAGCCTAGGCAATATGGTGAAGGCCGTCTCTACAAAAAAAGCACCAAAATTAGCCAAGTATGGTGGCATGCACCTGTAGTTCCAGCTACATGGTGGGGGCTGAGGCAGAAGGATCTCTTGAACCCAGGTGGTAAAGCTACAGTGAGATGAGATCTTGCCACTGCCCTCCAGCCTGAGTGACAAAGTGAGACCCTGTTTCCAANAAAAAAAAAAAAAAAAGACTAAATTAAATGCCTGTATGTTGAAATAGGGAGAAAAAATAATTTAAAAAACAAACTTTAAAAAGAAAACCTCTAAAATGAGGGAAATTATCCCCATTCTGGTCATTTCTCCAAGCTTGTACTCTAATATCCAAGCTACCCAAACTTTTAAATACTAATAAGAGTCCTCTTATATCAGAATTTACAGTTATTATCAGTGGGAGGATCCATCTCAGGTGGTTATGCCTCCAAGGCAGGAGCAGAACTCTCTTGAAATTGGTGTTTTGTCCCCACATCAAAGCCTGTCCACACCCTGCCTGATGGTGCTGCCTCCTGGGCTCTTAGCAGGTGGCCCAGGCTCCAGCCACGTTAGGCTGCAGTGACAGTGGCTCTCAAGGCAGACTTTCCCGTCTTGTCAGCATTCATTTCTCCAACTAGATCATGAGCTCCATGCTGATGTTTTTCACCAAGACATTCTGGGGACCTTGCAAAGTGCCTGGCACAAGAAGTGCTTGTCTGAATGTATGAATGAATGAGGTTTATCAGACCACTAACTCCCACCCTTCTCCCTAGCTAACCAAGGGATTTTGTTCTCCTTAATCAGAATCACCAACATAAGTAGTCTTAAAATAGGTACTCAGAACATCAGTGTGGCCAGGCATTTCCTCTTTCTATTTGTACCCAATATGTAATATCCAGTTGGCATTACAGAAGTACATAGGCTGTATTTGCGAGGTCTGTAACTTGGAACACATGTTCCTATTAACAGTGTTGGTTTTGCTTATTCAGTTTTCAGTCTAGTTGACAAACTCCTATGAAACCCCAAATGTAGCCAAAATTGTGAATGCCTACATTAAAAGTATAACTAAACGTTACTGCAATACTAGTAATTTTTAAAACCCAGAAAAACAAGGACTAGTATATTTAATATGCTACTTAACAAAAAGTAGGCTTAATTAGAAAAAGAAAACTGGGAAGGTAGAAAAACTTTCGTAAGGATGCTGAAGGAGACTTCTGAACATTTTCAAGGACTCAAGAGGTTGATGGTACTGTTTTTATGTATAATTTAAATTCAAATCAGATATCTTTCTATATATTTATCTGGGTAGGAAATCTGTTTTTTTATAGAGATTGGGAAAGACAGGGAGAAAGCAAAAAAGGAGTGTAGGGAAACAGATTCAGAACCAGAGAGAGACTCAGAGAAATATATTTTCCTGTGGCCACTGGGTAAGAGTTATAAGACAGGAAAAAAGTAAAAGACTTAAAGAAGCTCCCTGGGATGGGATTAGAAAACTGAGTTAATAAAGACAGAGCAAGGACGCAGAGCATGTTGGCTCCCTGTGATAGAGCCAAGGACATCACACAGAGGATGGATCTGAGTCCCACCGTCTAATAGAACCTTCTTCAAGACAGAAATCGGCTGTATCTGCACCGCCCAATATGGTAGCCACTAGCCACCTATAGCTATGAGCACTTGAAATGGGCTACTGTAACTGAGGAATGAAATTTTTTGTTATATTTAACTTAAATTAATTTAGATGTAAATATATGTAGACATGCATGACTAGTGGCTACAACAGGATCAGAAAGCTTCCTGAACCATTCGTGGGTGGGTGTAAGGCAGGAGTACTGAAGGAGCAGGCTACCTCTTGCCCAGGGACAGCTGATGTCTACACAGAGTGGAACAGGTAAGGGGGGTAAAGCAGGAATGTGAAGGAAGCAGGGAGATGGCCATCACTATGATTGGGACCCATGTCTTATGTTCATTTTTCAGCATGCTTTTAATAAGGTGGCAGATTATTTTTGGTAAAAATAGAATCAATTGAACTTACTTCATTTTGTCAGACAACTAAAGACAAAAACAACTAACTTGCACTGCTTTAGTGACTTTCAACATCAGGATGGAAGATGATGGCCAGATGAGCATGAGAAAGTGTTGAAATTTGAGCACAGAACGGCATGGGCATCATGTAAAGGGGTCGGTGGCCCCTCTACTTATGGCACCCTTGCACAGTGCCTGGCATATGGTAGATATGCCATCAATATTTCTTGAATGACTCTCTGTCATATCAGGGCAAGACGCAACAAGGCAGGAACCCAGACCTAGTAGATATAGAGACTGATGAAGCACCCATTTCTGGAGCATCATAAAGGGTCAGGCTTACTGGGTTTTAAAAGTTAGCAATGGGCTGGGCGCGGTGGCTCACACTTGTAATCCCAGCACTTCGGGAGGCCGAAGCAGGTGGATCACGAGGTCAAGAGATCAAGACCATCCAGGCCAGCATGGTGAAACCCCGTCTCTACTAAAAAATACAAAAATTAGCTGGGTGTGGTGGTGCGCACCTACATTCCCAGCTACTTGGGAGGCTGAGGCAGGAGAGTTGCTTGAACCAAGGAGGCGGAGATTGCAGTGAGCCGAGATTGAACCACTGCACTCCAGCCTGGTACCTGGCGACAGAGTGAGACTCTGTCTCAAAAAAAAAAAAAAAAGTTAGCAATGGGCAGTCTGAAAACTGAAGACTGGATGAGGTCACCCCAAGAAGGAACCTGCAGATACGCGAGTGTCAGACAGGAAGGGAAAGAGGATGGAGGCTGAGCTAGAGCTGTTCAAAATGTAGGAGCATAAGGGGAAGGCAGGATCTGTACAAATATAAACCCTCTTATATGGAAAAACCACTCACTCTGTGGGAGATATTTCATCACTGGATGTCTAAATGGAGTGAATAAAAGAGTGACATTTGGGAATCTTAATGTGTTTTTCATACCCAAGACAATCTATCTCTCATACAAACACAAGCAACATGGTAACAAACTTTGTTTACGTATTTTTGTACCCCAAATAATAAAATGCCCTGGAGAATAGTCACACTCTTGAGAAGGTTAAAAAAAAAGAGTGATAACTGGATATTTCTGTGATTTTTCAATTTGTAGATGTTTTTCAGCTTCTGTGAGAAGAAGGTGGATTACGAAACATTTAAAGCACTCAATGATGCATGTCTTGTGTATGACGGTCGACTTGTGATTGATACCAGCTTCCACACCAATGACATAGCCATCAGAGCTGCTGGCTCCCTCACCAAATTCTCCAATAGATATTACTCAAATGAGTGGACTCACAGCAACTTCAGTTCCAAAGAAATTGGCTTCCAGTTGGCAGCAGCTATGCTATATCTCTTTGATCCAACCCTTGAGCCTGTGACCGAGCCACCAGCTGATCTTGACCGGCTCATCCCCATGTACAAAGGAGCCAAGATTCAAGGTAGACTTCCTTCTCCTTGATAAAGCCACAGATTAGGTATGGGTCAGCAGTCAGGCCAGCCCTCCAGGTTTCTCTTAGGGTTGGGGAAAAGGCTCCTTGGTACCTCAATGGGTTGCCACAGAGACAGAGAAAGGGTCTATCTAACTTCTGAAGCATTTATTACAAACCTGGAATCATTGTTATTATGGCTATTTGCATTTGAGCATTTATTACGGACCACATCCTAAATGGGGTTCCCATTTTACAGATAAGGAAACAGAAAAGGGGATGATTATTAACTTGTCTGGATGTCTCACAGCTGGAAAGTGATGGTTTGCCCTGGCCTCTTACCCAAAACTTCCATTTTCACTGTTAAGTTCAGAGATAAGGAGACCCTTCCAGGCAGCCAGGCCTCAGTCTGCTCTTGGGATGGATAAGCTTAACCATTTGCAGCTGTAAAGCAGTGCACTTTTATCCTGTAAACCTTTTTGGCCCCTAGGGAGGAGATGATTTCATGAGTAATGCAGGGTTCCTTCATGTTTAGGGGGTGTGAGAAATACCTTTGAAAATGGTGTTTCTGAATGTTGTGGACCTTCTACCAGAAAAATGCACTAATTTATAAAATTATGTGTTCACTTCCTGGAGGCTTGTGGATGAACCCACAAAGGTATACGTAGACCCCCAGGGTGTCCACGGAGCCCAGTCCAGTCAACAGAATGCCAGACTACAGAGACAAAAGCCCCCCCATGCCATCATTGTCTTCCTCTTCCTAACTAGGCAGCCCCACAGGATCTTGCGTTGCTTCTCGCTCTGGGTGAGAGCTGAGGAAAGGTGATGGTGTGGGCAGGCAAGAGGAAGGAGGGCGGCCAGAAGCCAGAGCTGGCGCAGGCCCACACCTCAGGGACAAGCCAAAATACTAGGAACTCGATAATGACAGTTTCTGAAACATTGAACAAAGAACTTTGTTGACGGTCCTAATTAAATTCAATTTTTAAATATTTTGGCTACGTTTTGGAGAAGTGATGAGGAATAGGAATGCCATATGCAACATTTAAGGCTTCTAAAGGTCTTGATCTGGTTTTGGCAGATATGGGTTAGGGTGTGGGGAGCTACGGATAATCACAGGATACACAAGATTGGCTTGGAGCATCCTGGAGCATTGGTGGCTCCATTATGGGATATTGTGTCACTTTCACATCAGTTTGGTTAAATAAATGTCAGCCACCCCAGGGAATTCCTTGCTGTTAGCGGCATGTTAGTGGAAAAGTTTGAGGAGCATACACCACTGCAAGCGTCTGTTTGTCCTGTCGTGAAAATGTGAGCTCTGTGACTCACCTCATTCACGATTAATTTTACTGTAAATGGAAAACTTGCTGTCTCCTCTAGGGGGCATTCTTCCCGGGTCTTACCATTATCTGCATATTGCCAAGCCTGCCATTCCAACTCCCTTGAAGACACAAATGGCACAGCCTGATTATGTAAGTATTATTTCTGAATTTCATTTTGCTTTCAAATACAAAACCTTGTTTATAAGAGCATGAAATTCTTTACTTGGAGTCTTTAACGTGTTGGTCCACACATTAGAAGCCTGCTGGAGTAGTCATCCCCCAAGATGGCCCTCAGTGACTCTTGTGCCTTGGTCTTCATGCCCTTGTGTGGCCCCTCCCACACTGAGTAGGGCTGACCTGTGTAGCCAACGGTATTGGGGAAATGACTGTGTGACTTCCAAGGTCAGGTCAGGTCAAGAAAGATACCATAGCTTCCAACTTGCACACTTCTAGATGACTTGCTGCCATGCTGTAGGGACCCCTTTAAAAAGGTCCATGTGGCAGGAAATTGAGGATTCCTGCACCAGCCATGATCAGTTTGCCGGTTGCCGGGCAGATGAGTGCACCACCTTGGAAGCTGATCCTCCACCCTCATTCAAGCCTTCAGGTGGCCGCAGCTGCAGCCAGCGTCTTGGCTGAAAACATGAAAAGCCTTGAGCCAGCACCCCCCAGCTAAGCCACTGTCTGCTCCTGACTCCCAGAGACCATGAGATAACAAAAATTTATTGTTGTTTTAAGCCATTACTTTTTTACCCCCCATTTATTTATTTTATTGCATTTTAGGTTTTGGGGTACATGTGAAGAACATGCAAAATTGTTGCATAGGTACACACGTGGCAGTGTGATTTGCTGCCTTCCTCCCCATCACCTACATCTGGCATTTCTCCCCTTGCTATCTCTCCCCAGCTCCCCACCCCTCACCATCCCTCCCCTATTTCCCCCCAACTGACCCCAGTGTGTAGTGCTCCCCTCCCTGTGTCCATGTATCCCATTACTGGGTATATATCCAAAGGATTACAAATCGTTCTACTATAATGACACGTGCACACGAATGTTCATTGCAGCACTGTTTACAACAGCAAAGACCTGGAACCAACCCAAATGCCCATCGACAACAGACTGGATAGGGAAAATGTGGCACATATACACTATGGAATATTATGCAGCCATCAAAAACGATGAGTTTGGGTCCTTTGTAGGGACATGGATGAACCTGGAAACCATCATTCTCAGCAAACTGACAGAAGAGCGGAAGATCAAACACTGCATGTTCTCACTCATAGGCGGGTGTTGAACAATGAGCCATTACTTTTTTTAATAGACTTTATTTTTTTAGAGCTGACTTTATTTTTTTAGAGCCGTTTTGGGTTCATAACAAAATTGAGCAGAGATGCAAAGCTTTCCCATATACCCCCAACCCTTCAGCAGACATATAGCCTCCTGCACTATCAACATCCCCCACCAGTGATATATTTCTTACAATTAATTAACCTACACTGGCACATTATTATCAGCCAAAGCCCATAGTTCACATCAGGGTTCACTCTTGGTTTTGTCCATTCTGTGGGTTTGGACAAATGGATAATGACACATATCCACCATTACAGGATCACACAGAGCAGCTTCACTGCCCTGAGAACCCTCTGTGTGCTGCCTGTCTGTCCCTTCCTCTGTCCTAAGGCCTGGCATCTACTGATCTTTTTGCTGTCCCAGTCACTTTGCCTTTTCCAAAATGTCATATAGTTGGAATCATACAGTCTTTAGACTTTTCAGGTTGGCTTCTTTCACTTAGTCATATGCATTTAAGCTTCCTCTATATCTCTTCATGGCTTGGCGGCTCGTTTCTTTTTGGCACTGAGTGATCCTCTGTTGTCTGGACGTATCTGTTTATTTATGCATTCACCTACTGAAGGATATTAAGCCTCTACATTTTGAGGCAACCTGGGATGCTTCGATAAATAACTGAAATATCCACTTTCATGTCAGTGGAGCAGGTAGATTGCTTAGCATCTGGAATGGCCGTGGAGACTCCACTGTTTTCCTCCCTTCCAGGAAAAGCACAAGCTGTGCATATGGGAATTCCCCTGTTTAAAGGACACAGGTGGTTGGTCAGTTGAAGAGCTTCTCTAATAAGATTCTCTGACACATGGTCCCAGCCTGGTGTGTGTTGTCATCTGGGGCCTTCTTTTTGCATATGTCACATTGGCTTTTTAGTCGATGAGGTGGACTGGAAGCTGTCTACTTAACTCCATTCCCATTTTCTTCTCCTGAATATTTTTGAGGGTGAACAAGATGACCAACTTAAACACATTTTCCAGGTTTCCTTAAGGACAGGGTCAGCCATGTGGCAGGTTCTGGCCAATGAGATGTAAGTAGAAGCTCTTGGAAATTTCCTTAAAAGGGAGCAGACTCAAATGGCACAGGTTCTGGTCTCTTCACCTCTCTCAATTCCAGCTGTTCCATTTCCTTCCCATGGACGTTGAACAAGCTCTTCAATATCTCTGCATTTCTGGGATTGCTGGGGAGCATATATATGAAAGGGGGCAGGCTCAAATAGCACAGGCTACGGGCTCTTCGCCCTTCTCAATCCCAGCTATCCCATTTCCTTCCCATGGACCTTGACCAAGTTCTTCAATGTCTCTGCATTTCTGGGATTGCTGGGGGGCATATAAAAGCAACACTGGAACAAAACACGTAGCCAGTAAGTGGTGAAGGTGGTTGTTTTCATCGTTATTCCAGATAAATAATGAAACCCAGTTCTTCCAGGAAAAGGGTAAATGCTGTGTGTTTAAAACTTACTTTCCTTCGCCCTTTCCCAGATTATTTTAGTTGTCCTGCACACATGGTCTGATGCAAAATTGTCTTATAATAAATGATCATCACTTATTATAGATCATCATAAATACAGTTCCAGTTTCTATCGCTGTGTAAAAAACACTTAGTGGCATAAAACAGCCATTTGATCCTACTCACAGATTCTGTGACAGGGCACAGTGAGTACAGCTTGTCTCTGCTCCACACTATCCGGAGCCTTAGTTGAGCAGACTGGAGAGTTAGATCAATGGTCCGGATCATCTGAGGGCTGGTTTACTAAATCTGAAGGCTTGTTACTCAGCTGAGCTGGGATGACTCGGGGACAGGAAGTGCTCACTGCAACCTCCCCACCTGGGCTGTCCTCACGTGCCTGGGCTTCCTTACAGCATGGTGGCCTCAGAATAGCCAGACTGCTCACATGGTGGCTCTGGGCTCCAAATGCACGTGTTATTGTGCAAGTTGGAAGCTGCATTGCCTTTTGTGACTCAGCCTCAAAAGTCACATGACATCACTTCTCCCACTCTCTGTTGGAGCAGTCACAGCAACCACTGAGATTCAAGGGGTGGGGGATAGAGAATCCATCTCTCAAGGCAGAGAGTGTCAAGGTCATATTGCAGGACAGTGTGTGGGATGGGGAAATTGTCATGGCATCTTTGGAAAGTACAATCTGCCACCAATGAGGTGGGGCATGAGGTAAATAGGATAAAGCCCAGAGTATTCACAGGCTAAGCACTTGGATCATTACAGATAAATAGCTTGAGTCTAATATGCACAAGAGCTAGAACATATTGCACTTGGTTTTAGCCAGAACCAGATACTTCAAGGACAGTGCATGATTTCCTACATGTGGTGTCGTTTATTTATGAGCCACTGACTCTCTAAATAAAGTCAGAGGAGGAGCCAAAAGGAGTTTTTAGATAATGAGAGCTTTAATAAGAGTGCAACTTAAATAGATTCTTTGGCTGGTGCTATGACAGTATGTGAACAGGACCCCTGACTTTAATTAACCATTTTGCCAGGTGGGCCTCCTTTTTAATTAGTACAGAAGATCTAAACAGATTTTTTCTTCCATTTTATTATCCAAAAAAAAAAAAAATGTAGGACGGCTCCATGGCAATCTTTTGGGGCTGGAATTAATTTGATTAAGTGAAATTGTTGCCAAAATGGTCAGGCAGTCACCTAAATATAGCCAATTGATCAAGAATGGAGTCCATTGAACAATATTTCACCAGAGGGATTGAATTACTATTCATACACTAGATGTAGCACAGACAAATCTTATCAGATGTTTATAGTGCTAATTGGAATATTTAAATCAGAAGATACTGTAGTAATTCATGAGCTCTTTGAGAGGTAACCTGACAAAAGGAAGAAAGGGGACCCCAAGTCGTCTACATAATAAACTAATTTACAGATTCCAGTCCACATGCTTTGTTGGCGAATATACCACAGAATAAAGAAATTTGTCACAACAAATTCTGCCTTGGATACCATCAAATTTAAAATTGTGTGTTCATCGTGAGAGCTGGGAACTTGATTTTTTGAACACCGAGTCTGACTAATCCTGTGTCTTCCATTTGGCATGAATTCCAGAGCCATTTTCCAACCTTTGTCAAAATCATAAAGAAACTCAAAAGGATAATTGTATTCAGGGAAAAAAAGAAGAAGAAAAACCATGTCAGAATCAGTGACTCCATCAAAATTTTAAATTTAATATCCACATTTTTAAACAATTTACTCTTAAAATAGGGGAAGACGCCAGGCATACGCTACCACATTGGAAGGTTGTGAAATAATCGTCCTGACCCCGGAACCCCTCACCATGTGAGCAGGGCTGGGAGGTGCCCTGTGACATCACTAGTGGAGCAGCTTTCTGTGAGCCATTGCAGAAAGACTTCTGGGCTTCACTGGCTTATCGTGTTCTGTCAGCGATTGTGAACAGGAATGCCCTGCACTACAAGAGTAATTTGTGTCTAAGAAGCCCCTGTATGAGTGAATTATATTTAACGTTAATACAACATATTTGGAGGCACTCTCAGTTCCCAGATGGCCCCTCCAGTGATGGTAATGTAGTGCCAAATCTCCTTAAAGTGGACACTGTTCCTTCCTTCCAAAGTTGAGATCAGCCATCAGTGCAGCCTCCTCATCGCTTTCTCTAGCGTGGCTTCTCTGGGACTCCAAGCCTTCCTCTCTGTGAAGCACTGTATGATAGGATCATGCAGACGAAACTTAGGGAGGACGCCAAAAGGTGATAATTCAGTGTTTACGTTTAAAAGTAAGACCAAAAAAAGCAACAGGTCCATAATTTTTTAAAAAATCACGAAAAATGATGCTGATGATAGACTGTCAGGGAACAGGATGACATTTAAGGGCACAAAGTGCTCGGGCTGTCACTGCTGTCAGCCTGCAGCGGGCAGGGCTCCTCAAGGACTTGTCATTTCACTACCAACTAAGTGACCATGACCGTCGTCTTGAGGTGCACAGCCTGGACTCCATACGTGAAATCCAAGTCAGCCCTTCTAAACATAAAGAAGTCCTTATAAGCTGAAGGCGGGGGATTGTAAGCTGAAGTGAGACTTTTGGCAAAGTCAGGATTTGTTAACCACACGGGCGGATCTCAAGGGGTGCCCCCTTGACACCTGGGCTCCCTTTTTTAATCACTTCGCACAATGAAACATAAAAGGAGGAGGAGGCCTGGGGAAGCCTGGCAGATAAAACTGTGCCAGTCTGTGGTGCATCCTCTCCCCGACACCAGCCTCACTGCCATGGTGCAGGAGCTGCCCCTCCTTGGAACGCACCTGCAGCTTTCCAGCTTTTTCACCAGTCATCCCCTACTGTGATGCGGACACCTACCCCTGGGTTCCAGAAGCCAAACCTAAAGCTGCTGTTTCTAAACACAACTGGGCTTTCAAGACTTGTGTTTAATTTAGAAATACACGCGGAGGTCACATACTTCACAGTCTGTATATCTACATAGATTTTAATTCTGAAATACTGCTGAATATCCCAGGCCATCAGGTAAAGTTGATACCAGGGGTTATTCTGTGAAGTCATGCGCCCCCAACCCCACCTGGTGCAATGGTGGGAGTCATTGCTTAGGCTGCGAAGTCAAGACTTGAGAAAGCACACGTGAATGAGCAAAAGCCCATGGGGCATCCAGGCCTAGAGAGAGGCCTGTGGAACGAGCCGAGGGCAAGGGGTTAGCAGAGGAGGAGGCCAGGCCCCTGCAGCCAGAGGCTCAGGCCTGGCTTCTTCCAAACTCTTCTCCAGAGGAGCCCACCCTTCCACACCAACTTCTTCCTGGAGCCTGCTTCCTTCCTTCCTTCCTTTCTTCCTTCCTTCCTTCCTTCCTTCCTTCTTTCCTTCCTTCCTTCCTTCCTTCCTTCCTTCCTTCCTTCCCTCTTTCCCTCCTTTCCTTCCTTCCTTCCTTCCTTCCCCCTTTCCCTCCTTTCCTTCCTTCCTTCCTTCCTTTCTTCCCTCTTTCCCTCCTTTCCTTCCTTCTTTCCCTCCTTCTCTTCCTTCCTTCCCTCCCTCCCTTCCCTTTTTTTCCTCCCTTCCCTCCTTTCTTCCCTCCCTCCCTTCCCTCCTTCACTCCCTCCCTTTCTTCCTTCCTTCCTTCTTTCCTTCCCTTCCTTCCTTTCTTCTTTCTTTCCTTCCTTTTTCCTTCCCTCCCTCCTTTCCTCCTTGCCTCCCTCCCTCCCCTCCCCTCCCCTCCTCTCTCCTCCCTTTCCCTGCCTTCTCTTTCATTCTTCCTTTATTACTTTCTCGCTCCCTCCCCCTCTCCCTCAATTTGCTCATCAAAAAATCTAGTTTCTTGCCATGGCACAGCCTGAGTATTTAAAAATAACTTGTCCTCACTTTAGAAGTAATGATCAGTTTTTAAAAATGAGAAACTGCATAGTCAAATAACCATAAGGATAAACAATAAAAATCATCCAGTCTCTCAACCGCAGAAAGTGACCATTAACATTTTGTGAAAATGTTGATACAAAACAAATGAAATGATACTGTGCACTTTTGTGAACTACTTCTACAGTATAAAATGTACTGTGAACATATCTCCCTGTTGTGAAATATATTTGAACACTAATTTTTTAAATGCGTTGCCCTCCATTATGGGGGGCATTGTTTTGTTGGATAATATTTTAATGAGTTTGGATTTTTTTAAGCACTTTGTTATGTTGTTAGATTTCCCATCTATCCATCCATTTCTATAAATGAAGGACCACTTCCATCTCCCTTGAAGTACCATCCTCCAGCCCAGTTGTTCCTCCCCGCAAACGCCCAGTTTCTCACACACATACCTGGGGTTGGCCCAGGACTCACCCATCGTGCCTCCTGTATATCTCGCCTTGTACCTTTACAGCCGGCTGAGTCCCCCCAAGGGCTTTGCCATGTGATACCCAGACACCCACCAGTTGCCTGTATTTATTTAAAAGTTAAACCGTGTGTCCTTGTTTAGACAAAATCCCCAGGTGATGTCCAGAACTAAGTAAATGTTTGGGATCCAGGCGGTCCAAATTGCCTTGGATTTCTAAATGCCACATTCAAGTTCGGAAGAGAAGCTTAAATCTATATACACTCAGAAAACATTTATTGAGCGTTACTGTGTACTGAGGTCAGAGTCGAGGGCTGTAGTGAAGGTTCAGCCACCTCCCGCAAAACCCACGTTTGTCCACAGAGGCTTCCCACTGCCTGAGCCAGTGGGGAGCTGTCCGGGGCCCAAATAGAAAAAGTTATCGTGGCATGGAATTGGAGCAGCATCTATCCTTGTCACTTGGGCTCATGTGGCAGTTGTAGCTGGTTTCTACGGGACAGAAAGTCACGAATCCACACCTTCAGCAATTTATAAACTAGAAAGCCACTTGCAGAATGTGTATTTGTATCTCCCGTAGCCTTGAACGTCCTTCCTGGGAACAGATCTTTTCAAATGACTGACGCTGCCCAATTCCTGCCATCAGGCATGGCCTTTTATGTGTTTCTTTTGTTCAAGTAAGCTTGAAAATAACTGAAATTATTTCTGATCAGTTTTGACTAGGAGGTTTTTCTCAGAATGATGCTGTGGAAGCTAAGAAATTTAACAGTGTTAAAACACCTCAGAGGAGAGAATAAACCCAGTTCCACTTATTAGCTGGGTGTGCAGTATTAATAGAGGATGGGTTGTAACCTAGCAACTAGTTTAGAAACACAGAACAAGGCAATCACAGTTTAAAATATCCTGAAGAACATTTAGTCACTGAGTCCAAGTATGTGGTTTCTGACACACTGTTACCTTCTGCTGAGCTTGGTCAATATCTATTACTGTTATTTGCAACGAAGGATAAGATATAACCTGTCTGTTATATTTGAAAAAATAAACTGCTATGATAAAGTTCCTAAAATTCAGACATGTTTCTAATGTTGTTTTTCTGATCCACATCCCGCCTCCAGGGTTTACAAATAGTAACTGGTAGTGCAGAAAATGGGACTTACTTCCGAATTCATATTAACAAGTATAAAATGGTGGAAACCATCACATGCCTTTCTAAGGAGCCCTTCCCCGCCTCCAACTACATCCGCCTGTTTGGCCAGCATGAGCAGCTCCTCAACAACCTGTGTGCTCGGTACAATGAAAACCTGATCACAGATCTCTATAGGTAAGTTGGACGTTGCATTTCACTATGGGGAAATACAAACATATATAACGTCTCATGAATGAGGGACGTGTGTTGTGATGTACCAGAGAGCAAAACGGGAATCGCTGAGAGAAGCCAAGTGGCAGAAGTTTCATTCTAACGAAGAACATCTGAGGCTAATGTGGGCTGGGAAGCAGTGAGTCACAGGAGGGAGGACATGGACTCCAGATGTATCCACACATGGCCCCTGTGGCCATACCAGGGCCTGGACCCCAGGTACAACCAAGCCCCCCATGGACAGGCTCGGAGGAGATGATATTCAAGTCCCTTTCCACGTGGGACTGTCAAGAGCAGTGGTCAGAAATGCCGGAGGTAGATTTGGGAACAGCATGTGGAAGGGTCTGATCCTGATGGGACTCATGGGACAGGTGTTGTGACTCCAGCCTTCCTCCTCATGGCATGTGTTCAGGCAGGCTCAGGGTGGCCATTTGTCCAGGGTATTGTTAAGGGAATTCCTACACTGACAGGCTGGGGAGACTTGAAACCTTAGTCTTTTGAAACTCTTGAGACACACTTCATCCTATCCAATAGGAAGGCATAGAATTTCCAAGTGGAAATCTACCTCTAAATGTAGCCTGCTTCTTAGCAAAGTTAGGAGACTTTCCCTCTATTCACAAAGCAAGGTGTTGCAGAGCCAGCACTAGATACAAACGTGAATGAAAACCGTGCAGTTCCAGTGTTCTCAACACCCATAGAAGCAATTGCCAGGATAGCCAACAATCTCTCTTGCCTCTTAAATTTTTTTAAATTGTAGAATGCATCATACAAATAAAAAAGTATGTGAAGTATGTATGGACTTTAAAGGGAAAAATAATGCTGGAACTCTACGGGTCCACTGCCTAGTGAAGAAATAATGCCTTATATTAGCAGGCAGGAAGTCCCTCTCTCATCACCCCACCATCTCCTAGGAGATAGCCACTGTCCTGAAGTTTGAGTTTTTCATTCTGTTGCCTATAAAGCAAGGATCACTGAACTTCTTCTATAAAGGGCAGATATAGCCTCAGTTGCAAGTCCTCAACTCTGCATTTGTAGTGAGAAAGAAGCCATAGATGATGTGTAAACAAATGGACACAGCTGCGTCCCAAGAAAGCTTCATTCGCCAAGATGGGCATTGGGCCGGATTTGCTCTCAGTCGTACTTTGTCAACCGTTGTTTTAAAGATGTGTACATAGACACGTGTGATTTCCTAAATAATATTTGAGTTTGCCTTGCCTACTTCTGACTCAGTTTATAGCTTATCAAAGAAAGCGAGTGTTCAGTTTGCACTGTGTTGGTGAGAACCATCCAGGATGATGTCTGTAGCTGTGGTTCATTCATTCTCCCTGCTGTGTGGTATTCCATCATGTAATGGTCACGATTCAGCCATAGATTTTCCTGTTGACTGTGTTGACACTGGTTCCGGTTCAGGGCCATTACGGTCGGACGTTGTGAACGTTGTGGACGTACCTCATGTGCAGAAACTCTCTAGATATCCTAGTCCTAGAACTGCCGGGTCACAGGACATGCACATCTTCAGCTTCACTAGTTGATGCCCAGATGTTTCCCAAGTGTGGTCACGTGCCATATAGACTTTCCAGTCAACAATGAACTACATATACAATCGTGGTCCCATAAGATAATAATGAAACTGAAAAATTTCCATCTCCAAGGGCCACCTTCCTATCGCCTAACACAACACATGAGCCACGTGTTTTGTGTGATGCTGAGGTGACCAAACCTACTGTACTGCCCCGTTGGTGTAAAAGTATAGCACACAGTTATGTTCACTGCAGAACACTTCAAATGGTAATAAGTAACCGTGTTACTGGTTTATGTATTTAATAGATTATACATTTGATTGTTATTTTCAAGTGTATGCCTTCTACTTATGAGAAAAGGTTAACTCAGTCTCAGATAGGTCCTTTGAGGGGTATTCAGAAGGCATTACTGTCACAGGAGATGGCAGCTCCATGTGTGTTATTGCCCCTGAAGCCCTTCCAGTGGGGCAAGATGTGGAAGGGAAGACAGTGATCTTGAGGTCCTGACCCTGTGTAGGCCTAGGATAATGTGTGTGTCTGTGTCTTGGTTTTTAACAAAAAGTTTAAAATGTAAAAAATAAAATTGTAAATAGAAAAAACTGCATAGAATAAGGACACGAATATTTTTGAATAGCTATACAATGTGCTATGGGGGTTTTTTGTTTGTTTTCTTTTTGTTTTTGAGATGGAGTCTTGCTGTTGCCCAGGCTGGAGTGCAGTGGCATAATCTGGGTTCATAGAAGCCTCCACCTCCTGGCTTCAAGTGATTCCCCTGCCTCAGCCTCTCAAATTGCTGGGATTACAGGCATGTGCCACCACATCTGGCTAATTTTTGCATTTTCAGTAGAGACAGAGTTTCACCATGTTGGCCAGGCTGGTCTCAAACTCCCAACCTCAGGTGATCCACCCGCCTTGGCCTCCCAAAGTGCTGGGATTACAGGAATGAGCCACCACGCCCGGCCTTGTGCTTGTGTTTTAAGCTAAGTGCTATTATTACAAAAGAGTCAAAAAGTTGTAACAAAATAAGATTATGAAGTACAAAGAGTAAGCTAAGGTTATCTTATTATTAAAGAATAAGAAAGATAGAAAAACACATTTCTATAAATTTAGTGTAGACTAAATGTACTGTTTATAGTATCTTCAGTATTATATGGTAATGTCCGAGGCCTTCACACTCACCGCTCACTCACTCACTAACTAGAGCAACTTCCAGTCCTGTAAGCTCCGTTCATGGTAAGTACCCTCTACAGGTATAATCTTCTAAAATGCTTTATACCATATTTTTGCTGTACCTTTTCTATGTTTAGATACACAAACAGTTACCATGGAGTTACAATTGCCTACGGTATTCAGTGCAAAAACTTGTGCAAGTTTGTAGCCTAGGAGCAACAGGGGCATACTCGACAGGTGTGTGGTAGTAGGCTAGACCATCTAGGTTTGTGTAAGTGCACTCACGGATGGTTGCCAGCAATGCGTTTCTCAGGACCTGTTCCCGTCATTAGGTGACACATGACTGTCGTATTTATTTATTTATATTTTATTGCATTTTAGGTTTGGGGCTACATGTGAAGAACATGGAAGATTGTTGCATAGGCACACACATGGCAGTGTGATTTGCTGCCTTCCTTCCCATCACCTATATCTGGCATTTCTCCCCATGTTATCCCTCCCCAACTCCCTACCCCCCACTGTCCCTCCCCTTGTTCCCCCCACAGACCCCAGTGTGTGATGCTCCCCTCCCTGTGTCCATGTTTTCTCATTGTTCAACACCTGCCTGTGAGTGAGAACACGTGGTGTTTGATTTTCGGTACTTGTGTCAGTTTGCTGAGAATGATGGTTTCCAGGTTCATCCATGTCCCTACAAAGGACACAAACTCATCGTTTTTTATGGCTGCATAGTATTCCATGGTGTATATGTGCCACATTTTCCCTGTCCAGTCTATCATCCATGGGCATTTGGGTTGGTTCCAGGTCTTTGCTATTGTAAACAGTGCTGCAATGAACATTCGTGTGAATGTGTCCTTATAAGAGAATGATTTATAATCCTTTGGATATATACCCAATAATGGGATTGCTGGGTCAAATGGAATTGCTATTTCTAGGTCCTTGAGGAATCGCCACATCGTCTTCCACAATGGTTGAACTAATTTACACTCCCACCAACAGTGTAAAAGTGTTCCTATTTCTCCACATCCTCTCCAGCATCTGTTGTCTCCAGATATTTTAATGATCGCCATTCTAACTGGTGTGAGATGGTATCTCAGTGTCATTTTGATTTGCATTTCTCTACTGACCAGTGATGATGAGCATTTTTTCATTTGTTTGTTGGCCTCATATATGTCTTCTTTTGTAAAGTGTCTGTTCATATCGTTTGCCTACTTTTGGATGGGTTTGTTTGTTTTTTTCTTGTAAATCTGTTTAAGTTCTTTGTAGATTCTGGATATTAGCCCTTTGTCAGATGGGTAGATTGCAAAAATTTTTTCCCATTCTCTTGGTTGCTGGTTCACTCTAATGACTGTTTCTTTTGCTATACAGAAGCTCTGGAGTTTGATTAGGTCCCATGACTGTCATATTTATTTAAACTTTTCCCAGCAGTGAATGAGAGCTCCTCTTGCACCACAGACCTGCCAAACCTTGGTACTGTTAAATTTGGCCAGTCTAGTGGCACACAAAGTTATCCTCCCGGGGCTTTAATGTACCCTTCTCCACTTAATGATGCAGTTAACTGCCTTTTCATTTGTTCATGGGTCATTTGTGGTAGTTTCTGTGAAATGCTGATTCATATTTGTTCACGGAGTGGGGGTGTCTTCTCATTATTGATTCACAGTAGTCATTTATAAACAAATTGGGGAGAAACTTGTGTTGGTTATATATTTTTAACCAACTTTGAAGCTTGTCTTTTTGCTTTCTTTATGATGTCAACAATATTCTTAATTTAATAGAATGTTTGCCTTCTTCAAGAGCATCTTGGACACTTTTGTCCTTTCCCTCTTATAATAGTTTTGTAATCAACTTGTCAAGATCCATGACAAGCCCCATTGGATTTGATAAGAAATGCATTAAATCATAGATCAATTAGGCAAGAATTGACATCTTTGATATTCAGTCCAATATCATAACATAGTATAGCTCTCAATTTAAGTATTCTTTAATGTCTTTCAATAAAGGTTTATCATTTTATCCATGAATGGCTTGCACAGTTTCTGTTTCATATGATCCAAGATGCTTTATATTGTTATAAATATCATTTTTTATGAATTGCTGCTTTTGTATAGAAATTCACTAATTTTTGGATGGTTCTGTATCCTGGAAATCTGAGATAATTTACCTATTGATTTTTAGATTTTCCAAATAGAAAAATATCATCTGCAAATAGTGACAGCTTCATTTCTTCTTTTCCAACTTTTATAATATTTATTTTCTTTTCTCACCTTACTGCACTGG